TGATTTGCTTATCTGAAGCAGCATGCTGGGTGGGGGGATTGGACTCGGGAAGATGTTTTGCAAATTTTAGTCCTGCTGCTTCTCTCTCCCTAGAGGGGGTTTTAGAGAAGCTTAGAGAAGCATTTGAAATTAGTCTGACAGTACATAGTCCTTAAAGGGACGGTTCTGGGTTCGAAGGCTGTGAGCCTTAGGAAAGGTGGGTCAGGGCTGTTGGAGCTGCAGTGTGTTTTAGGGGGTGTGGCTGCGTGTACATTTACCAGGCCACCAAGGGCAATTCTGTTGTCCCTCCCTGGAGAGTCACCTTATGTTTTATGTCCAATATTTGGGGGACAGCTTATTTTCCCGGTTGGGATTCAGAAGATACAAAGATTCAGAAGATTGCTCGAGGACTTTGGGGTCTGGGCAACCTGAGTTTCACCCAAAGGGAACACTGCAGTGCTGCCTGCTATTAGCATTGGGATGATGTGTGATCTCTGCTTGCCCGTGGGCTTGTGAGCCTTGAGGGCAGGGGTGGGAGGCACTTCTTCAGAAATTGCTTTTCCATCAAAGCCAGAAAAAGGAGGGGGCAGGGTGGGAAATCTTGGACAGTCCTTCTCTCTTCCTGGACGCACATCACTCACAACTCATTTCCTGAAAATCCTAGCACACTCCAGTGGTGAGAGACAGCTTCCTGCAGATCTGCTGAGCCAGCCTCTTGTCAGAGAGGAGATGAGAACAAGATGTGGTTGGAGAAGGGGTGGCTGGGCTGAGCTGGGCTGCTCAGTGGCCCTGCAGCCCTGTCTCTGAGGGGATAGTGTCTTTGGTGCCGAGAGCAGCGCCAAGGCACCACCGGGGACTGGAGGCATAGATGGGCCTGGCTTGGGGCGATGGGGAGTGTGTGAAAGCAGTGTCTTGTGAATCGGTACAATTGCACAGATAGTGGTGATGGAACATGACCCTTCCTTTTGCTTTTAGAAGGAAGGATGACCCTCCTGGTCAACATCCACAACAGCATTTGGGGAAAGGGTTGTTATTAAAAAAAACTAAAAACCCCCCAAAAACGACCCCTGACGTCCTTACATGTCTATCCTCTTTATCTTGCCCTGTGCTTTGCTTACCCCTGTGGCTCTCCTCTGCATGTATTCACATCTAAGACCCAGGAGCCTCCTTTTTGTGGCATCACATGTTCTCAAGGCTGCTGTCATCACCGTCACATTGTGCTTTGGACTACTGCTGGCAGTGCTTTAGTTTTATGCTTCTACCTTCTAATAGAGACAGGGCAGAGAACTGCTTAAAAAGTATGGTCTGGCCCAACAGACTTGGCTTTGAAACCCAGCTCTGACGCTGTGCCGGGACAGCTTGGACAAGTTACAGTTCCGAGGTTGCAGTGTCCTCATAGGCATGTTGTGAAGGTGAAATGCTTTCTCACTTAAAGGCATGTGAACTATTTTGATTGCAACTTTTCAGGGTTTCTTAAGCTCAGAATGATCCAGGGTGTGGTGGAGGTAGAAGGGTGATGGAGGCTTGGGTAGTGAGACATGTGGATATTTCTGAAGTTTGCCTGCTTTAAAAGTATGTTGAGAACTTGTGGTCTAGGGTGGTGGTTCTGCCCGAGAATCACTCAGAGAGTTATTGCAACAGCAGATGGTTGGGCTCCAACCACAGAGTTTCTGTGTGCAAGGACGTTTGCAGTGGGGCCTGGCAATCTGCATATATATATATATATACATACATATATACATATATATATATATATACATATATATATATACATATATACATGTATATATATATATATATTTTTTTTAATCTGCATTTTTAACTAGTTCCTAGGTGATGCTAATGCTGCTGGTCCTGAAAAGGGCAGTTAGGTGGAAGAGGGAGCAGACTGTTTCTTGTAGATTCAGCAGACAAGAATGAGGCCAGTGGGTGCCGGTTACAGAGAGAGGTAGTTTTTGGTTCAGTGTAAGAACTTTCTCTAACTATTATATGTGGTCAGAAATGGAGTGGGTGGTCTCAGGAGCTCCCTGTCACTGGAGATGTCCAGTGCCGAATGGCCATCTGGCAGATTCCTACACAAGGTATAAGATTCATTCATTCGTTCATTTATTCATTTATCCACTTTTTCACAGAATAAACCTTCCTGGTACTAGGAGCTGGGGAGAAGCCTTGAACAAGGCAGCCGTGCTCCCTGCTCTTAGGAAGTCCACAGTCCAGTGAGTTTGGCTTAATGATGCCTGAGGTCCCTCTCAGCACTGAGGCTCTGAGAGTCCTATGCTGACAGTGGCAGAACCTCAGAGTAAGAAGGTGCAGAAAGATGCTTACCCTTCTGAGGATGTGTGGCCAAGAAGCGACAAGAATGTGGACTCCTCTGAGGTTCAGTCTGGATTGCTCTCTTTGGAGCATCTTGGTGTCGCTGGATGAATATTTCCCCCCCCTAAGGCTGAGGGTGTATTTTCCAGGAGTGCATTACTGTGGGAAGACTCACGTCTCCCTGCTGTCATCCAGGATGGACTGTTAAATTCTGAACTCCTGACTCGCCGTCCATTATGCAGTCTGTGAAAGCAGACCAAGGAATTGGGCTGCAGGAATGAGCTCATTGTTTTTTCACCTCTCTCAAGTGATATACTGGGGAGTTAATGGCTGGGGGGAATTGAAAGGAAATAGGTAAATTCCACCAGTTTTTCTGGGTTCTTCCCATCATAATCCCTGTTGAAAGCAATAATGATAATCACTAACCTTTACTGAGCTCCACTCTGAGCCAGGACTGTTTTCAAGCTCTTTTCATGCATTATGTTATTTTACTCAGATGACAACCCTGTCAAGTAGAAGGGATTTTGCAGAAGAGGAAACAAAGGTTTGGAGAGCTAAAACAACTCTCTCATGGCCATAGAGACAGTAACTGTCAGAACTGGCACTGAAACTTAGTCTCTTAGACTCCAGACCATGTTCTAAGCTCCTAGTATGCTCAACGACTCGCTCATTCATTCATTCAGTAATTAGTTAACACATTCTTTCACTGAGTACATGTTAAACACCAGTATATACTGGTGAGCAAAACAGCTTGGCCTCTGTCCTCCTGGGGCTTACAGTTTATCTCGCTCAGACAAATGGGTGACTCTTCCCTTCGATCCTTGACTGGTTAGATGCTAAGGAGAAAGAGAAAGGGAGACAGAATCTGGCAAGTTAGCTACTGACCCAAACTTTCCATGCGAATTGGAGTTTCTCTACACAAGCTGGGTTTTCTGTTTTGCTTTGTTTTTACATCTCCCTGTTGGGTTTCTTTTCTTCTCGTCCAAGCCAGCACGTTGAAGGGCTTGACATAGTGCAAGAGACAACCCTTGTGGCATTTGCCTTCTGACTGCACTCTCTGGGTGGAGGGGTTTCTGAGAGTCTAGGGTCCCGGAACTTAGAGCTGGAAGTGACTCCGAGAGACTCTGGAGATCCTCTTCAATGACCCTCTCTTGTGGGAAATGTCACCTCTTACAAAACCAGGGTGGTCCCTGCAGGTCCCTTTGGCTTTCTATGCTGGCCTCAGCTTGTATCTTCTTATTTAAAAAGCAGTTTCAAGTTAGATTTTCCGTTTTCAGAATAAATACATGATAATTATTCTTTAAGATCAACCAGTTTTTCAAAAATATTATACAACTTACATTGTGAACCTCTTCCGTAATTCCCTGAGATAACCACCATTAACGATGGGCGTGCCCTCCTCCAGCTGTTGCTGATGCATGCACTAGTGTGTACTGCTGTTACTTTTTCATTAAAAGGGATTTAAAAAGTACATACTTTCCTGAAATTTATTGTCTTTATCTAACTCCATTTTAGACATCTTTCCACATTAGTAGGTATAAATCCACTTAATTCTTTTTTGTTAGACTCCAATTTTTAATGGTGCCTTCCATTACAAACTTTGCCCCCTGACCTCGATTTTCTTTAGATTCGTTCTGCTTTTAATGTGGCTGAGCTAGTTGAAGCATCCATTTGGCTCTTTTGTCTTTTAACTTTCAGGGAAATTCTAAAAGCCTTATTTGAGGTCACCTTGCCTTTGGTGAGGTATTATTACTTTTTTTTCTTTTCTTTTCTTTTCTTTTTTTTTCTTTTTTTGCGGTACGCGGGCCTCTCACTGTCGTGGCCTCTCCCGTTGCGGAGCACAGGCTCCGGACGCGCAGGCTCAGCGGCCACGGCTCACGGGCCCAGCCGCTCCGCGGCACGTGGGATCTTCCCAGACCGGGCAAGAACCCGTGTCCCCTGCATCGGCAGGTTGACTCTCAACACTGCGCCACCAGGGAAGCCCTGGTGAGGGATTCTTAACCCCAGCTGCAAGAGGTTTGTGGCAAGAGAGAAACCAATGTCCAATTTTAGGAAAGAAAAAACAATATTGGAAGGGTAACACATAAAACTACCAGGTCTCAGGAGATCTGACCCGCTACGTCTCAGAAAAGATGGGCAAAGGAAACTCCTGGAACCAAGCAGCAGGAACACAGGAGCAGATGAATAGCTCCCATTTGTTAAGTTTTTGCAGCATTGCTCCATTGGCTTGGCTCGCGCCGAGGGCCACCCTTGGCCAAGGCCAGGTAGGATACCTTGATTGACAGTCTTACCAAAGCATGCAACAGGGAAGAGGGATTCCCTTAAAGAAAAATTGGTGGATACGCTGGAGAAATAATCAGTCAAGGTACACAATAGGGTCCATAGACCCTGGGAAATTTTGTGAATGTGTTTGCACGTGTATTTTCCCAGGACCCAGAACAAGTTAAGATCTGAGATCACTGCTTTTGTGGTCAACTCTATCTGGTTGTGGCTGACTTAAGCGGTGATCCCGATGAACACAAAGCTCATAACAAACTTCACTCTGTTTTTCTTTTTATTTCTTGAGCCGTTCCATAGGACTGCCTAGTTCCTTCTGTGTGGAGACGCTTGGGGTGGCTCTACCAAGTTTAGTTAGAATCACTGGCTGCTTCCCAGGATGGTGAAGTCCATCATCTAAGGAGACAAATGCCTGTTTTTATTCTTTTCAGGCACCTTTTTGCTCCAGCCTACACAGAAACCCAATATACTCCAAGTGGCAACCCTCGATCCACCACCCTGAAATCCGAGGTAAGTTCAGGTCAATATCTGTCAAGCAGCTGCCCTATCCCAGACCCACCTCCAGGAAGTGAGGAGATGCTCAGTGGAGACAGTCCCTCCCCTGAAGGAACTGTTTCCCTGACTGAGACCCAGGGAGTGAGCAGGAGACACGAAATACGAACTTGTTGTTTCGTAAGCGTACCCTCCCCTTTGCTGGCCAAAATGGTGAAACAAACAATATTTTAAGCAAGTTGCATCTGATTAAAGTTGATATAAATCACTGTGAAGCATACACTTTCTTTGCTTTATGTTAATTACCCACATACTAACAAAAGTTTAAGTAAGAGAAATGATTTACTGGTAATCCTGTCATCTCACCCAGTCAGGTGTTTGTTTTTTTTTTCATTTGGACATGTAAAGTTTTGTACTCTGCCTTTTGTTTTTTGTTTTTTGTTTTGCGGTACGCGGGCCTCTCACTGTTGTGGCCTCTCCCGTTGCAGAGCACAGGCTCCGGACGCGCAGTCTCAGCGGCCACGGCTCACGGGCCCAGCCGCTCCGCGGCATGTGGGATCTTCCCAGACCGGGGCACGAACCCGTGTCCCCTGCATCGGCAGGCGGACTCTCAACCACTGCGCCACCAGGGAAGCCCTGTACTCTGCCTTTTTAATGTGGTTATAGGATGTGAAGATTTTATTTTGCTGCTATCTTCATATTGAGTATTTTTCCCCTCAAAATTGAGTTTGGCTGTTTGCACGGAGATTCGTCATTTAAAAAATGGTGTTTCAGTTTTAGTCTTTTAGTTTGCTCCACCACACCATTTGGTCACTGGTGGACATTTAAGGTCACGAATCATACACATTTCATGGCTTGCTAGCTTTTCCTACAGGGGACCTTTTAGAATTTGTAGGATTAGAGTGGTGGCTCTCAACTAGGAGTGATTTTGGTTTAAATCATTTCTTTTCCTTAAATTTTTGTTAAATATGTTGGTAATGAACATAAAGCAAAGGAAATATGCTTCATGATGATTTATACCAATTTTAATCAGGTACAATTACCCTAAAATATTCTATTTGTCTCTTTGACTGTTTTAGCCAAGAAGGGAGGGGACCCTTGGCAATTTGTAGTAGGCACAGTTTGGGTTATCATGACTGGGAAGTGGATGCTACTGGCATCTGGTGGGTAGGGATGCTGCTAATTACCCTACAATGCACAGGCCAGTCGTCCACGGCAGAGAATTATCTGGCCTCAAATGTCAATAGTGCCCAAGCTGAGACATTCTGGACTTGAGTGGCCCCTTCTGAGACCCTGGGCCAAAGAGCAGGGGTGGAGGAGGAGGGAAGACAGACTCCAGCGGAAGGTCTTGCCTTTGGGGCCAGATGTCATGGGCTTTCGTGGTGTGCGCATCTGCGGGGTGTGGTGTGTAGGCAGCACGATGGGCTCCTCCCACAGTTTCCCATGACCCTGAGATTCCCACGTGATCCAGTCTCTACAGTAGCCCTGCCGGAGTGCAGAAGCCTAGAAGACGATGACAGCCACTAACAGTCGTTAGCAGCACAGATGAGTTTATCAGATCACCCTCGAATGAGGAGAGGGACACAGGACAGTTAGGTTTCGATGGGTCTAAGAGGTCTGTAGTAACTCGGCAGCTGAGGGGCTGTGTTGCACTGTTGGGTGTGAAGATCAGGGCTGCCCTCTTCACCAAGACCTTCCTGGGGGCGGGGGGGGGGGGGGGG